TTCTGGGGATTAAACTGGACTAGATTTAGCCACCTCCAGTCCGAGACTTTGTTCAACAAAGTTTCGAGTTCAGACACAAGTTTGTCCCGGTACTCGGAGACGTTTTCCTGAGAAATATTGGCACAGCAGGTGTACAGAGCATCACCAATGCTGTCATCTGCCTAGCAATGAATTTTGCAGGTTTGCAACATATCATTGATATGCAGAAGAAACAGCGTTGGTGATAGCACCCAGCCTTGTGGAACACCAGCATTAATAAGCTTGTTACCGGAGCTTGCACTGTCTACAAAGACCTTGGTGCTCCGATCTGCAAGAAAGCTGGTGATCCAATTGCACAATTTTTCGGGAAGCCCATAGGAAGAGAGCTTCGAAAGAAGCGCTTTGTGCCAAACCCGATCGAAGGCCTTCGCAATGTCCAAGGTAACGGCCAATGCCTCCCCCTTGGACTCTACTGCCGCCGCTCATCTATGAGTCAGGTAGACCAGAAGTAGCTGGACTGGTCTGAGCGGTCGCCTTTTTTAAGGACCGGGTGGACGAAAGCCGTCTTCCACGATTTTGGGACTACGCCTAGAGAGTAGGAATACCGGAAAAGACGTGTTAAGACCGGTGCCAAATCTGGAGCACACGTTCCCAGCACAATTGGGGGATACCGTCAGGCCCACTCGACTTGTGGATGTCCAGGGATAGGAGTGCTTTGCGGACCAACCGCTGTGTAAACCGCACCTCCGGTATGGAGCACTCACACCGCGGGATGGTCGGCAGCGTACTCCCCCCGTCATCGAGAGTCGAGTTAGACGCAAAGAAAGAGCCTACCAGATCGGCTTTCTTCTTTGCGGCATGGGCCAGTGAGTCGTCCTTCCTGTGCAGAGATGGAAGAGATGGCTGACAGAACCGCTCACTGAAAAAACAAACTCGAGATGGTAGTGGACAGCGTTTAGGTTAGAATGAAATTCCCTGATATTGCAGAAATTCATTGATAGCGTGGCAGGGAACGCCTTGGTCTTGTTGTTCAGTTTTCCCCGAGCAGTTGTTGTCTGAGCGGAATTTTGCGCTCCTCCCCTCCCCCAGAATACGCGGGGCAGCCTGAGCGCCCACGCTCAGGAGTGGAGTAACTTGGTCGTGGATGTTCAGCTAGGGATTCTCCAGGGGTGCTGGTACCATCCTAGGTTTTCTACCCCAGGATAGCTTTTTACTTAATTCCACTACCATGTTAAAGGAGGGGGGTATAGGGCCTCCTGCCCCCTACACTCCCCAGACGAAACGCGTTCCACTTCACGCCGGTATTCTGTGAGGTCATGGTACCACCCCGGTTTGAGCCGGCCCATACGTGTAATAGCAAAGCTGCCGCGTGGCTCTACCACTGTTAAAAGGTACGCTAAATGCTTGCTTTTTCAGCTTGAGCACATTCAGCGTTGAGCCATAGCCGGCCTATTTTTTTTTATTTTTTTATTTTTTTTGGAACACCAACAGCATATAAACGTTACATGAATACAAATTGGTCATTTCGACAAAGCCATTTACAGGTATTCGCATATGGTTATTTAAATGTAAAGAGGCCATGACAACAGTAACAATAAACAAGTAAATCCCCGAAGTTGAGGAGTGTTTTTAAAATTTGAGAGTATTTAAGAATTTGTTGCACCCACGGCGCGGGGGGCCAAAGAATTCCAACGCAAACAATCTACTTACATTATGAGGCTTGGTACGGAATAGTTCTAATTCGCCGTTATTTATTGACAATTTGTTAAAAAAGTTACTCGCACGAATAATAAATGAATTGCGGCGGTAGTTAGTATTGACTCTAGGAATAGCCAGTGACTGAGTACGTCTAGTTGGTAATCTACGCCGAACCCAGATGCTTACCTTTTCCAGCAAAGCAGGGCAATCAATGATGCCTCCGACAATTTTTAATAGATACGTAATATCGAAGAGTTGCCGTCTTTTTTCTAAAGGTAATAAGTGGTATCTATTGCATCTCGTTTCATAACCATGGTCCAATTGCTTACACTTGTATTGTAGATATCTCAAGAACCTTTTTTATATGGACTCAATACGGGAAGTATACACGTTATATTGTGGATTCCAGACCACAGAGGCATACTCAAGGATACTGCGCACATAAGCACAATAAAGTACTTTAATCGGTTTAATAGATTTAAATTCATATGTAGACCTTATAATGAAACCAAGAGATTTGGAGGCCTTTTTCACTACGTAATCAATGTGCTTATCAAATAAGAGTTTAGAATCTTGAATGAGACCCAGGTCTTTCATAGATGTAACTTTGTTAAGTGACTTATTATTGATTTTATATTGATAATTTATAGGGTTAAATTTACGAGAAAAGGTCATAGCAAAACACTTGGAAACATTCAAATCAAGCTTATTTTGAGTACAGTGTTGCACAAAATTATTCAGATCGGACTGAAGGCGATCACAGTCACCAGAGCTGTTAGTGGCCATAAAGATCTTAGTGTCGTCTGCGTATAATAAGACTCTGGCATGTTTGAAACATAACGCAATGTCGTTTATGAATATAACAAAAAAGCAAAGGCCCTAATAAAGAGCCTTGAGGTACGCCAGAAGGAATTGTTATCCACGCAGAAGTAAAACCATTTAATGCAACCGCCTGGGATCTATTACTGATGTAAGAAGAAAACCATCTAAATAAATTACCATGTATACCGGCTTTGTACAATTTCTCAAGGAGCAGTAAGTGATCTATACGATCAAAAGCTTTACTAAAATCAGTAAAAATACAATCGACCTGTAGCCCTGAATCCATTTGTGAAGAGGTGTATTCATTAAAAACTAAAAGGTTTGATACAGTCGACCTCTGCCTTAAAAAGCCATGTTGTTCAGGAGTAAAAGAAGACTGCAGTGTAGCATATATCTGTCGGTAGACAACTTTCTCAAATATTTTGGCAAATATACACAACTTAGATATAGGCCTATAATTTTTTACATTAGAACGGTCACCGCTTTTATGGACGGGCGTTACAAATGCTGATTTCCAGGTCATTGGCACTATACCTTCTTTTAAAGAACGCTTGAAAATAATACATAGAGGCGTAACCAAGCTATCTACGCACTGCCTTATAAAAAAAGGTGTTATACTATCAGGCCCAGCGCCTTTATTCATGTTAGTAGTTTTCAGCAATATTTCAACCTCCTTCGGATTTATATTTATGTCACCAATACTAAAATTATCTTGGCACTGATTATCAAGATTAGGTGTACGGCTATTAGCTTCGGGAACGAGAAAAGTTGATTGAAAGTATTCTGAAAATAAATTACACACCGATTGTCCAGTATCACCAGACTGGTCCTCGTATGTCATAACAGATGGTAGTGCCTGGGAGGGCCCTTTCAGCGACTTTGTGTAAGACCAAAAAAGACGTGGGTTATTTACTACCGAGTTTTCTACTTTACTTATGTATGACTGATAACACTCACTTTCTAATTTTATGGCTCTTTCTCTCAGAAATGAGTATGTTTCGTAATCGTACCGGTTATCATATTTTTTATATTTTTTAAAATATTTGAATTTTTCTTTTAAAACCTTTTTAGGCGGGTGTACCAATAGGAAATGATACTACAGATAATTTTGTGAGGTATAAATTCGTCACGAAGATCGGTCAGAATACGATAAAAATTATGAACACTGTCGTCAATAGAACCGCTCGATAACAAGACATTCCAATCTGTTTTCGACAAGTTGGAATTAATTTCTACATAATTTCCTTCTTTGTAATTGAAAACGGTTCTCTTATTGACAGTCAGAAAACTAGGTATGTCTAAATTTAATTCGATGCAAATTGATCTATGGTGTAAATCCTCCGAGACAAGGGGGTGGTCACTAGGTAGTACATTTACATGGTTATTGCAAAAGACAAGATCCAGTAGCCTATCGTTGCTATTTCGTATGTTATTGTATTGGTTGAGATTACATTCATTAATTATGTCCAAAAAATTTACCTGACTTTCGTTTAAAACTCCTATTGGCCCTAATTGACCGCTTTCCATTAAGACCCAGCTGATATTTGGCATATTAAAATCTCCCAAGACCATAAACAGGTCGTTGGGTGCAGAGTGAAAGTTATCCCCAAGCTTACTCGCAAAGTTATCGAGTTGTGTATTCATTGAATAGCCGCCTCCCTCCTTACATAAATAAATAGTGCAAATGTGTAATGCGAGAAGGCCGGCTTTGGTGCGGAGTGTCACGGAGACCCAAATATCTTCGGCGGAGGAGTACCAAGCCGGGCGACCGGTGGCGGCGAGCTCGCGGCGCACGGCCACCAGCACGCCGCCGCCGTACCGCTGCCCGGTAAAGCGGTAGTCGCGGTCACGACGCCACACTATATACCGTTCATCAAAAAGTTCACTATCACTAATGCCATCTAATAGCCAAGTCTCCGTTATTGATATGATATCAAAGCTGCTTAAGGCCACATTTCTCTTAAATAAGCTTGTTTTAGTGCGTAGTCCCCGAGCATTTTGATAAAAAATATTAATAGCGAATTTTAGAGTACACAATCGTTACATTATATATAAAATTGGTTCTGATTTTGGTCTGGAATTCACAACAATCACCACTGCAAAGCGACATTGTTTTGCGAAAGCGAGTTGCAAGTAGAGCAATCAACAAAACGACGGCAAAAGCAAAGTTAAATAAGCGAGAACGGTAGTATCTCGTAGATATCGACAACACGTAAACATTGAGTAACATTTTAAAAGCAAAATATGAGGTAAAAATAATATGTTCCACCAGTACATGCGGGGTGCAGAGAAATTCTACCTCTAAGTACATACAGTTACGATAGCTATTAACAGAAGTGAATGCGTGTAGGGAGTAATAGCGATAAGCAATACAAAAGAGTCAGGGCATCCCGCGTCCCGGGCGCAACAATCACAATATTTACGCGAGTTGAAATAGTATAATCTTGAGCAATATGTCGTACAAGCATTTAGTAAATTGAAATATACACACTTTATGAATTTTATGAAAATTTTAGAAGATCTTTTTCTGATTTTATGCGGAACGTCGGTGATGTGTCGGATTTTCGGGCCAGAATCTTGCAATGTTTTATCCACACATATTTGAAGTTTTTTGTTTTCGCCAGATCCTTCGCCTTCTTAAGAAGAGCTTTATTAAATAGCGTGAGATGGTCGTTGACGTAAACATGGCCTTCATCGGCGTATCCCAGTTGGGAAACTTTGAGTTCCTTATGTTTACGCGCAGCTGCTACAAACTCTTCCTTGCAGTAACGATTGTTGAGCGCCATGATTATGGACTTTTGAGACTCTGCTTTGAGGCTGGGAACTCGGGCAATATAATTGATGTCTTCTTTACGTATAGAGCACTGGATAACTTTACTGATATTATCCACAATATCGTATAAGTTCTCGGACTTTTTCACTGGAATCCCTTTTATTTCCACATTATTGGCCCGCGCCCATTGTTCCTTATCCTGTAGATCTTCTTTGAACTTTTTAAGGTCAGCTCCCAAAATGTGGATCAAATTGGTGTGTTCCTCAACTTGCGAAATTCTGGATTCCAGGGACTTCACCGTCACCGACAACTGGCTTGCAGTTTGGTGAGCAAATTCAACTGAGCTCTTAAGATTCGATATTTCAAGCTTAATGATCTTTACATCTTCAATAAGTGACGCCAAGGGTACAAGTTGCTGCGTAATATTCACTAGGGTAGCCTGCATTTCTTCCAATCGCACTGCTATCCCAGGATTATTATAAGATGTTGATGCAGGAGACTGGGCATTTTTGCAGTAATATAGCGCCAGGTGGATCTTCTTTCCCCAAGTTTACGAAAATTGGTCTCTGTAATACCAGCACAGGCGAAGTCAAACTGGCGTTTACATAAATTACATAAAGGTCCATCAGACACTTTATTCCCACAACGTGTACAAGAGAACATTTCCGCTTTAGATTATTAAACTTAGTAAAGCGGCCCCAGAGTTGACTGTCACTGGCGTAGGATTTACTGGTAAACAATCGAGCGCGTGCACTTTTACCGCGTTCCGACGAGCGCGTATACCCTTTACCCGTATACCCTTTACCGCGTTCTGACGATGACTATGCTACCCCTGGAAGCCGGATAGGATGCAAAAAAGTGTCGCATCTCATCCCAATCAGCTGACTTGTATCGTCATATTCATCGAACACCTTGGGACTCACAATCAGGTGGAGAATATGATGCTGCAGATTTTACCAGACAGTGGTCAGATGTACCCAAAAGGGAGGTTACCTGTACTTCATACCTGTTTGGTTCGGTAGTCAGCAGAAGGTCCAAGCAATTGGCTGTGTAACCGTCTATATCGGGTACTCTAGTCGCTTCCTTCCCAGCTGAGAAAGACCTAGCATCAAGGCAAAATTTCACGCTTCTCTTCCAGATTCCCGATAAAGACCAGCTGTGACTAATGGCCACATCAGCAGCATCACTAAAGTGATCAAATAATCTTGTTGTCTCCTGTTCACCGCTGTGCGATCGACAGACACAGGCATATAGAATTTTTTCAATACCTGTTTCTACCATTACCCAGATTGTCGAAAAAGTGTGGTCTTTAAGGTGGCGGAGACGCTGGAAGCAGATATCATTGCGGACGTACACACAGACACCGGCACGTAGATGGAATTGGTGCTTCAAGGAGAATCCAGCATAATCAAGGTACGCCGCATTCAGTGGACATCCAATTTGGGTCTCCGTCAAGAAAAGTGGGTGCGGCTTTTCAGTCCCAAGATGGTGATGGACTGCGCTGAGATTAGAATGCAATTCTCGAATATTAGTAAGGTGCACTTTTAGTGAGAGGACGTGCAACCGCTGTTTAGCCATACTTTTCTTTTTTTGACACATATTAGAGTTAAGAGTGAATATGGATGGAGAATGGAGTACATCTTTTTTGCCACATTTAAAACAAAAAATAACTCTTTCAGTAGGACTTGATGTTATGAGTATCAAGGCGACAATGGTAACAAAATTTAGATTTTTCCACAGAAAATGTTTCATTTATATTCGCGAATGATTTATAAGTATAAGATCTGTCGCTATTATAATATTTCGGTAAATTTTTATTTGATGTTTGGTAGGCAAATTCAAGTGCCAATGTCTTGGAACTTATTGTAATTGGTTCTTTAAAATTATCTGAACGAGCTTTAACTTGTTCATAGTTACGACAAATAGATTTAAGATGAGTAATGGGATCTACATTAGGACAATTAGCAAGAATATTTGCGGAGCATGGACGGATAATGTGTAGGAAAATTTCAAGTTGGTCTTTGTCACTCATAGGAGTACTTAATCAAGAAAACATAGCTTGCATTACAACCATATAAATCACGATATTTTTAGGTTCACCTTGCGTACGGTTACGAATCTTGGTAATCATTCCGTAGTCGTAGTCATGAACATCAGAGTTCATTCGAAGACGAGTAACTAGATCATTAAATTTACTAATGTTATCTTTTACCAACCGATGTCAGTGAAGAGCATCATCTACAAATATTTCAAAAATGGATAATAACAGTCTATAGTTAGATACATTTCCATCGATACAAAATTCCTAGTCTTTGAATAAATGAGCGAACGCAAATTTTACTATCGTATTTAAGTTTTGCTATATCCAAGGACAAAGCACAATCACAGCTCACAGAAATATTTAAGTTTTCTAAATTTGAGGAAACTGTTACAACATCAGATGAGCTATTATCTAAATTTTTAGAATTTTCTGATTTCGTTATTTTATTAAAATAATTAGATTATTCTTCAAAAGTTTAAGTCACATATTTTAATTTTGAGATAGGTTCAGAACTTTCAGGTTGTTCTACGCGACGTATTCGATGATAAATGAGATTTAGTAAAGAACGCGTACAATCTGTACGTAGACTATCTTTCTGATTGGAATGAGTGTGTTTGGTAGCACTTTTAAGTGCAACGAGCATACTCTACTCCATGTCTTGGTGCATTAACGCTATGATACGTGTAGTTTTTTCTATTAGCGTCTCAGTAGCTCAGTAGCGTGCTACTATGATACTGTAGGGGAAGAGAGCAAAGTGGACTGTATATTTATTTATTCTTTTACACGCTAGGGATTACTATTGCAATGAAATGAATTTAAACTATTGAACTACCTAAAGCTGTGACATCTGTCTGAATACTAAGGGTTGAGTTGAAATTAAAATATTAAAAGGTAAATGACTATATTTAAACTATTTACAATAATTATTTGTGCGGCAGTTATCACTAAACCTAACAGGGATCTTGAGGGCTCGTTTCCTGCTTGTTCGTTCCGATGTGGCCGCTTGATTTCGTTTGAATGCCGAAGCCGCGCCAGAGGCGCTTCTTATATTGGCATCTATCGGTGTGTCGTAGGCACCGAGTTGGTGAGAGCGTTTGTCCTTGTGAGGCCCTTGTTCTAATGCGGGGCGCGGGGAACGTGTCGCGTCGCTAGCCTCGCCGTCCGCAACAGATATGTTGGTGTTAATTTTAGTTAACAATAATACTAGTTTTATTACCAAATTCGATAGAGATCTTGAGGGGGTGTTGTGAGGGTACGCCAGCCGTATGATAATTGGATTAATGCTTTTTGCTACTTGTGGTATTGCGTCTTGAGATAGATCTGATCTGATTCGACGTATCTTGTGATTCGGGTTGATGGAGGTATGCGGGTGGCGATGTCTGCTGGGATTGTGTGGGGCTCTTGCGATGGTGTAAGCTCGACGATAGTCGTGTTGATGCTAATTGCGTTTTACAGCACTGCATCTCTGCGATGGTTGTTTGACGGGTAGCTATTCTCAATGGCGCTGTCTGCGTCTTGGTTTGACTCACACCTAAGTAGCTTTGTCCAAGTTAGGTCCTTTAATTACGGGGCTGCAGACTGTCTGATCTCCATTAACTTTTATATAACAACGTAATAACACCTCTCTGTAATCTTTTTTTGAATGATTGAAAACAACTTGTTGGTAGATGAGACAAACCCGATTAAAAAATGTAATTATACTCAACGTAAGTGACACAAATCCTTTCTGATGGCAAATGATTACTATTATCTTATAACTGCCATTTGGCTATATCTGTCATTGTATTGGCTGGTGGAGCATATGTGTCGACCTCATGCAGATGGTAGCTGGAGGAAGAGACTCTCACGGCTACGGCCGAAAGCCGCACAACGTGGATCTCCATTCTCTTGAGGTGAGCGGTAGACTCACGACACGTTCTGCGGCTAGTAGCCGTGCTGATCGTGAAATCGGTGGTGATGCCATACACTTACATTACGTCTGCAGGAACCTCAGTCTATCAGATGGTAGCGCTCACAGATAGCTTTTTATGACCAGTGTGCTTATTTGACTAAACCATGGGACGTACAATCACTGTGGCTGGATTTGATCGTAATTGGTATGGCATTTATAAGCATTGACATGCGCGACTTCGCTCGATGTTTGTGCTTACGCACTACCACGGGGACAAGCCCTCTTCTACTGGTCCCCAGTTATTTTGCTGTGAACAACGATTCAGTTCCCAACTTAACGGATCTTTCGGGGGGAGCAAGTTAGTCAGTTGGCGCATACCGCACATGGCATATGTGTTTTAAATGTGGGAGAGCGAAGCCTTGTGTCGGGTATTTTTATTTAAATATTGTGAGTCTTTTAGTAGCCTTTTGTAGTTATTATTTTAAACCTGAAACAAGTGAAATAGGGACGATTTAAAGTTCTTAACCTTTCTCGATCCCTGTGAACCCCGTTCACAAAGGAACCGGGTTCACTTAACTTAAAATAATATAAGATACTACCAACGACTTTCAATTGCTTCAGTAAATATTCATTCTTCCAAAGGGCACCTAAAATTAGTAAGTCACTAAGCACTACACAACGTAAAATTAAGACGATTATCACGTCACAAGTACTGTAAACTAACTAACTAATACTCTGCACACTATCAACTTGACAATAAAAAACATAATAGAAAAAATAAAGTACCTAGATAGATACTTAGTCCCTAGAACATATAGTGCTTTTGCCAAAAGACAATTTTTTTACCTTGCGCCAGTACTATCAATAAATTTAATAAAGTTTGTATTACTAAAAGCTACAACAACCATCAAATCAAAATAAAATTATTAATTGTCCTCAAACTTATGACTATGACGCTACTGAATGTCTATGTAATTGTAATTTTTTATTGTTCTCATATTATTTGTTATTATAAGTATAAATCATTAATAATGCAGGCAATCATACAAATTTCAAAATATAAAATTTTCACAGTAAAATAGTAAAAACACACTCTCACCACACATAAAATCATTTACGCACACACACGCACACGCACGCGCACGCACACGCACACGCAAACGCACGCGCACGCGCACGCGCACGCGCGCGCACGCATACACACACACACGAACACACACACACACACACACACACACACAAACACGGCGCGCACGCACGTACGTAGGTTTATATATATATATATATATATATATATATATATATATATATTTTGTAATTTAGGAAGGAACTAGCTCCTACTACTCTGTTAACCTTTTACAGAAGGTAGGATGACATTGTGTATAAATTCGTTTTTGTTGCAATAAAGATTTTTCAATTTTCAATAATACTATACACGGCCTAGAACTAAACCTTTAGAAAGATCATTTGCAAAGACCGTAACATTTTTGTTTATTCTGGGCATGTATATAGT